TATATGTATATGTATATGTATATGTATATGTATATGTATATGTATATGTATATGTATATGCCTATGCCTATGTCTATGTCTATGTCTATGTCTATGTCTATGTCTATGTCTATGTATATGTATATGTATATGTATGTATATGTATGTATGTATATGTATGTATGTATATGTATGTATGTATATGTATATGCATATGCATATGTATATGAATATGTATATGTATATGTATATGTATATGTATATGTATATGTATATGTATATGTATATGTATATGTATGTATGTATGTATGTATGTATGTATGTATGTATGTATGTAAGCTTGTATGCATGTATGCATGTATGTATGTATGTATGTATGTATGTATGTAATGATGTTGGATATCGTGGGAGGCTGCCATACAGTAGCTCTGTACTGATGTTGGACTGCACGTGCCTTGCTGCACCTGATGCTCTGCATTGTATTCTGTCTGCTCCATTCTTTCAGTTGGAAGGTCTAGTGTGCCGCAGTGTTTGATAAACTATCACTGCCTGCCCATTCCACTTTTTATGTGATTGTGCATAATTTGTTGACGTAAACTCTACGTTGTGCATGATGCGAACTTGCCCTATAATGCAGGCATGTCAGATTCTACATTCCATGGTGCCCTACCTTTAAGGCTGTCCTATATGGCCGTGCAAGTTTTTGCTTTCTACTGCTTCTGCGTGTAACTATATATATATATATTTATTTATTTATTTATATGTGTGTGTGAGTGTGTCTGTTGTATGCCTGTTTGTTTGTTGCTTTGTGTACGTGTCTGTGTGCGCATACAAATATGTCCCAATTCTGTTGTGCTACATATGGCACACCCTGGGAGCTAATATCGGCGCTTGGATAACACGTCTAACCGACGTCATCTTCGATTAAAATCATAGCGGCTTACAGCGAAGTCTCTTGACTCCGGCTGTCACTGAGTACAGGCGAGATTTTCGTCATGAAACCATTCACAGGACCATCGCTGTTATGCTCGGATCCTTGCTGCATGCAGTCACTGATAATTGACTGACTGATTGATTGATTGATGGATCGATTGATTGGTTAACCGCCTGGCAAGGCACTGAAAACTGCTCCATGGATGTGCAACAGAAGCAGCGAAGAGGCTAGGAAGGCAGAAGCGCCCACACTGGCCGCCTGCAGGTCTTTAGAAAGTAATGTAGGGCCTGAATCCCAAAGGCTCCATGTACCTTTATAGTAGATACTTAGGCCTTAAAGGGGTCCCTATACAGGTACTTTAAGGCTTAAGTATCTACTATAAAGGTACATGGAGCCTTTGGGAATCATTATAAAGGAATAAAATAAGGCTTCCTCGAATGCACCCGCAGGAGCCCAGCAAGAAGCAGAAAACTAAACCCCTGCAAGTCCGACTTCTGCCCTAAAGACAAACCCTGAACATCTCATAACTTATCACCTCCATTGTGACTCCACAAGCACAAAAAACCTTTTAAACACACAGAAACCCCAAACCCCTTAACCCTGTAAAAAAAATAGAAGGGCTCTGAGACTGGCACCCATGGCCACTGCATCGCGGCCTCGCAGGCCTTCACCTTGGCCAACTGCTTCGGGTTCAAGGCTTTAGGGTTTATGGGTTGGTTAAGGGTTTAGGGGTTAGGGTTTGAGGGTTTAGGAGAACCCTACAATCCCTAAAACCTCCTTCCCCCCTTCACCCAACCTAACACCCCAACAGTTGCGCTGCTTTGACTCGGCTGAGCCCATAATCATCGTTTGATTGATTACCAAGAAGGCTGCGCCTTATGGAATGTAGGGTACAAGTAATTCACGGAGTTCACGGCCTTAGGATTTTGGCTAACTTGGCGTAGATTGCACAAAGGCTTGTCAGCTGGCATAGATTTAGGTTTTATCCATGGAGGCTATTCCAAACTTTCAGACTATATGGTCCCTTGCGCCCAAAGAAAGCTGAACAACCTTGAGAATGAACCCACTTCAGCTCAAGATTCGTGTACTTGTAAAGAAGGGCCACTGGGAATACACTTCCTCAGCATCAGGGGGCGCCTACTTTATGGCTTTTTACAAAAGTGGACATGCATTCTGAACTTATGACAACTTGCTAAAGCCTGAAGGCCTACACCCTAAACCGTACACCCTAAACTCCCTAAACTCCCATCGCCCTGCCTTTGGGAGCCCCGACCCCCGCACCCAGGAGTTCGGCGCTGGTGCGCAGGCCGCGCGCAATCACGCGCTGGAGGAGGGACAGGGCCTATAGTCCAGGGTTGTTCAGGGCTTAGGTTTTTGGTTTAGGGCTTATAGGGTTTAGGGTTTAAGGCTTAGGATTCAGGGTTCAGCCATGACCATCTGCAAGCAGTCCTGGACACGATCGCACATCAAACTGCAGGAGAGCTGTTTCACATAATTTCCTCCCCTTTCGGATCTGTTTACTTTTGCACTTCAAGGCGCCCAAAGACAGAGACATACAAGCACTTGCAAGTCAAGGACGGCCTTGCTCTAAAAAATATTCCAGCTTCAACCCTCCGGAAGAAAATCCAAGTCCAAAGCCCCGAGAGCTGAAAGGGGCAGTGGGGAGAGGCGTCGGGAGGCTTTAGAATTCAAGTCTTGCTAGGGTGCAGACGCTTCTTTAGGCTGCAGTACCTTGAGGCATCAAAGCCTGATAAGCCTTGTACGATATGGTCTGTGACACTGAAGCACCTTCAAGAGCTCTTCAGCCCGTAACACTTCGAACCATCGGAAGACCGCAGTTTCGTAGGCTCCGGACAAGCTGCCAGTATCTGCAAGGAATGGTGAGGGGAGGTCGGGGTGATCTAATCTGGGTGCGCTTATGCTTATTGTGACATGGCGAAGACTACATCATCCCGCGCACACACAGAGGGTGTGTATGCAGTGTTTGTGCACATACATACATACATACATACATACATACATCCATACATCCATATAGAACATGCAATAGATGGAGTCTGTCTTATCGTGAATAGAAATTTTCAAGCAACGGCACTACCAGCAGAAATGGTAGTAAAAGCAACTCTCCTTTGTAGCAATAGCCACAGATATTGGCTGCGAGAAAGAATGATCTTTCATGCATGCATGCATGGATGTATGGATGTAAGTCCAGTTGCAGCAAATGCAAGTGGGCTCGAACTAAAGAGCCTCGTGGAAGTTACCAAATCGGGGAAGCCGTGATGCAAACACATTTGGCACTATGTTCGTGGTGGGGCAACTTAAATAATAATCATGCCCGACCGGTGAACCAGGGCTTAAGAATGACTGAAGCACCCTGGAATAGTCCCTGAACGATTCGATACTTGTCATTCGTGACCTCAGCTGGAGCCTCTAAGTTTCACAAACCCTCGCATGCGCAGACCGTATGAAAGCTTCATCAAGCCCTGCAGAACTCCATCACACCCCCAAACACGAACTGCCAAAGAACCCCAGGCATCAAAGGACTTGGAACAGCATGCATGGCAGCCCTCGTGCGAACGAACCGTAAACAGGCTTTTGTCCTTCTGGGGTTTAGGGTAAATAGTTTACAAGCCCTGGGGGCGTTGGGCCTTGCTTGGGTTCACGGACTCATGTCTTCCCTGTGTTTTGGGAGGTTTAGAGTGTACGGCCTCAACCATAGACCCCAAACCCGAAACCCTA